AGCAGTTTTTACTCAACACGTCAGACTTGTTTGTCTTGTCTTGCCTGTTGTCCTTCGGGAGTGCTGCAGGAGGACACAGGGATTTATGGGGGATGGATGAGGAAAACGAAATAAAGAAAGTAAATCTGTGTTTTGTGATCAGTTTAATTTGACATGAACACGACAAACACGCTTTCTTGACAATCTTTGTGGGTAAAGTGTAGAAACAAAAACGAACAGCGTGTGTTATTAGGGAAATAGCGAGCGACCGGCGTTGATGCAGGATTGTGCATGCGACGTGAGCGGTTCTGATACTTTTTGGGTCGCAGCTGCTCGCAGCGCCGCTTCAACAGTGCGATACCCTCACGAGGGACGAGCGAAATATTAAACACACCAGAAGTCCGTGCGACCACACGACTGCTGATCGGCGGCTGGTCACGTGGTGTTAATCGCCTCTCGTACTCGTAACCCCCTGTACACTACACGGCCGCTCGGCGCAAAACTCGCCCCGATGTCGTGGCTTCTCGCACGACTGGAAAATCGGCTCAAAAAAGTGAAAAAGTCGCACAGTGTACGCCCGGCTTAAGATTTGGACAACCGTCTGTTGTGACACCTGACAGTCTCTCCCATTTCAATCCCAGAGTGTCCGTGCACGCATTTACCTCTGTAGAAACATCACTCCCTGTCGTTGTCCCTTTCATCGACCGCATTGCTGCCCGCTCCTCTGTGAGCTTGAAGTCCGTTATCCCCGGACAAATACGAGCAGCTGGGCTGTGTCCCGGACATCACAGCTCCCGTCTAATGAGAAAAAGTCCAAACTTGCCACTTCACGTTGCAGCTGAAGCTCCAGGTTCCCCGCAATGTCCTCGATCCTCCTGGTCACGGTTCACCTGGACAGCGGGATTTGCTCAAATGCGCCTTTTTTTTCAGGGCATATTAGTGCGGCAGAGTCCTCCATGCACTCTTTGACAAACTCTCCCTCCGAAAACGGCTTGCTGTTTTTAGCTATTTTGTGGGATATATCACAAAGCTGGTCCTGGTTGCTGCATCCCTGGATGTGTGAAGCTTAGTAAAAAAGCCTTGCTGCTTTTGCAACTTTGCTAGCAAAGCTTCGGATGTCCGTGCCCTCTCAGCATCAGACAAGTTCTTGTATTTTTCTGAGTGTTTCTTGTCGTAATGCCGACTCAAATTGTAGTCCTTAAACACGGCAATCTCCTCCCCGCAAACCAAACACACGGCTTTACCTCCGACTTCAGTAAAAAAAATACTTAGCAGTCCAATTTTTGTTGAAAATCCTGTATTTGGCATCTTACTTTTTTTTTTTTTTGCATGAGCGGACATTTCTCAGGCTACAATCACCATGTCAACCGCGGGCACTTGTTGCTATACGTATTGCGTCATTGTGCACGTAAAAAACAACTTCAAAATAAAAGCAATGCAGCCTTAGCCCATGCATGAGGTAAAATGAGAAAATACATTTATTTTGTAATTTCCAATTAACCTTACGCGGGCCGGTCAAAGTCAACCAAAGGGCCGGATGTGGCCCGCGGGCCGTAAAATGCCCAGGTCTGATCTAGGTCATATTCCCCCAAAGTGGATATAATTATGTATCGGAATAAAACTATAACAGACACTCACAGTTTGGAAATTTCATATCAGAGCAATTCATCTGCAATTATACTTTTAGTACCCTTTAATCTCTCAGGCTCAAAATAAGTTTTGATGAAAGGACGAACAACTAAGTCCTTCAGGGGAACTTCTGAGTAAAAAAATGCTTATGAAATACGTATGTGGAGTAACCAGGTAGGTAGGTTTTAACGTTGCAAATCTGCAACGCCTGCCTCCAGAGGGTTAAATCTCTTCTGTCTGTTGGTGATATAGAAATTTAGGTTAATTAAAGCTTTGTTTTTCACAGGGCCAGCGTCTATATTTAGGCATGTTCGCTCACATCATTAATCATGGCAGTGCACCTTTTCATCGACTCTTAGAATTACAGGATTTCAACAAACCCATCATCAGAGATCTAGCTTGTCACAGTTCACACCATGGGCCCATTCAACCAATCAGTGCATGATGCACCAAACATCGGTGTGTCTGCAGAACTGGTAAACTGCCTTCCTGCAGCTCGGTCTCTCCTCGTGTTTACAGTCAGATCTCTAAAACTAACAATGCTAGGTTTATGAAACTCTCACATCACAAGCTTGACTTGTGCTAAATAAGGATGTGTGTGTGTTGTATATGTTAAAGTTGGTGAAATCATAGAATGAAAACTGTAGCTGTCACAATTGATCATAAAACCTGAACAAGCAAAATAAATTGTTTTTAAGGTTAGATCTTTATTATTTTATTTATTTTTACAAAATCTTCATAACTATGGTAACAGTAATAATAAAAACTATGATTTCTAATATACTTTGGAGTTTTATACTACAAATTCTACTAAAAATAGAGAGGGGCAGTTATTGTGCCAGCCAAATCTCGCCATTGATGATGAGGAGGAGGAGGAGGAGGAAGATGGCACTGATGAGGCAGATCCTCAAATATATAACTTTCTAAAATATTCTCATATTCTATAATTCATTATCAGGTGTGTCTATTGTTCAGTAAATTTAAAAACATATTCTACAAAAATATATTTTTATTAAAAAAATTCATAATGTTAAAAATGTGATATTACCTACAGAGATAAAATGTAAAATGTGCTAGATTACTCCAAAGTGTGTTATCTTGTCTAGTGTTCTAATCCAGTGGTACACCCACGAGCCTCTTCTTTCTGGGCCACCCACACCCGCCCACGCACATACACACACACACACACACACACACACACACACACACACACACACACACACACACACACACACACACACACACACACACACACCTCAGCCCGAACCCCACCCCTGGACCGGCCCTCCAACTCAAAGGAAATTTTCCTGGTGGCCCTTGCCCACGTATAGCTGAGTACCCCTGTTCTAAACTATTCTAAATGAATGTTTATTTTACATGTTCATGTTTTTTGTATTTTGGGATTTCTTTTATCAGAACAGGGCCAGCGTCCATATTCTGCAGGAAAATAAAACAATTTGAAAAGCGTTTAAAACTTTTGTAATATACCACAATAACACCCTGGGGTTTAAATTTTAAGCTTTACTTTATTTCAGTGAGTGCCCTATAAAGGGCTAAGAAGCCCAGCTTGTGCTCACTGTATGTGTTCTCAGTTTAAAGGCTGTTCTCTCAAGTTCAACGGACCAAACATAGATTCATAAACCGTCATCTCAATGTAGAAACCAAGGTTATGTGTCCTGCTCAGAGTACATTACTGTTTGAGTAGAATTAGCTTTTAGTTTTTAACATTTGGATTTGAAATTGGTTTGTTTATTTAGGTGCCGCTGGTCCTTAAAGTAAAAACCTGAAATGCTTCTTTTGTCTTCTAATAAAATTGAGTGTGCTTTTGCACAGATTTAGGAACCCAACAGCATTTCATCCTGGTGTGTTTGCAGCTCGGAGTGAGCATTTCTATGTTGCACTGAAATGTATAAAATGTCACACCAGTTCAAGTTGGAGTAACAATGTCCAAGCAGAGGGTCAGTCAACTCCTCTGAGACACAACAGCAATAAATCCTCTCTGACACATGCACTCATCCATCTTCACTCCCAGTTGACTATCTTGTTCCATCTTCAGGAGAAATCCCAACGTGCAAACACAATGCAGTAAATCCGGCCTGTGGCTCTCAACCACTCACTACTAATGAGAATCAATCAGAGACTTTACCCCCGAATACATTTCATTAATTGATTTTTGTTTCCTAATAAGTGAAATCAGGGAATGAGAATGAGACTGGAGTATGTTTGAGGCCAGTTTTCAGCTTGTTTGTGTTGGTGAATGTGGATTCCAGGCTGCTGCGACATGCATATATGTTCATGTGTGAGTCCTCCAGCAGGTTGTCAGGGTGTGCAGGAGGATTACATCCCCCGAGGAGCATTATGGGGTGCATATTGACACTGGCTTGTGGCACACAGCAGAAAGAGTGGGTGAAAGATGCTGACAGCCAATCGTCGCCGTGTGCCCGCCGTCTCCTCTGGACTCGCTCCAGCCCTGAATCTAATAAGGGAGCAGTAGTGATACTCTAACTTTTGTCTGTTTGCGTTACTCAAGATGTTTTTTTTTTTTACCTGTGTGTGTGTGTGTGTGTGTGTGTGTGTGTGTGTGTGTGTGTGTGTGTGTGTGTGTGTGTGTGTGTGTGTGTGTGTGTGTGTGTGTGTGTGTGTGTGTGTGTGTGTGTGTGTGTGTGTGTGTGTGTGTGTGTGTGTGTGTGTGTGTGTGTGTGTGTGTGTGTGTGTGTGTGTGACTTTTGTTTTACCCAAGCTGCAGCCCAAACTAGTTATGAAGAAATATGCAGGTCTGGGAATGAAACTCACCCAGCTTTATTCTTCATTGATCTTTTGCTCTCTGACGGATGTGGGGATTTCTTAGCTAATTTGATCAGCTTGGTTTTAGCTAATGCTGCTTTGCTCAACACAAACTTCTTCCAGGCTGTGCTGCAGCACGGGGAACATTGATGTTGTTTTTGCTCATCAAATTCAGTATTTTCTCCTTTTTCTTTTTTAATCCAAGCTAAATAAAAGATGAAAAAAAAGCTTCATATTTCATGTATTGCTGCTGGCTGCTGATTAAACTGTTTGTCCAGTCAGGAAAAGGACATCATAACCTCACAAGGAATGGAAATGTGAGGTATATAAATGTGTTTGTAAGTGCTATATGGGATTATTATTTCTTTTCCAGGCATAAACCCTTTGGACAACACTTCACCAAGTCCCCGAAGAGCTTTTACTTACTTCGAATGTGCTCTAATACAATTTCACACTACTTCACTGACCTGTATTGTGCTGCTTTGACCCGTGTAATTCCTCCCAGCAGGGCTTTGCATTATCACGATCCAGTACGCACTGATTCAAGATTATTCACCTTTCAAAAATTGTAACTTCAGAACCCCCCCTCTTTGGCTTCTTTCCTGTAGCGCTCGAAATGGCAAAATGCGAGTTCTCAGCTTCAAGATGGGATTGGTGAGCTTGTGCAACGCAGATGTCCAAGAAAAGTACAAATGTAAGTCAGATGCTCGCTCATGCAGACATATTCTCAGCAGCTAAACAACGATCCCAAACAAAACACTTCTGATAGCCAGAATCACATAAAGACATCCACTTAGTGTAATGGAGGAAATGGTGCCATTAGATGAAAGTGTTTTTTTTCTTGTACCAAGTGCACTAGTGGTTTTAAATGGATTGCTTTTTGAAGCTACATTCATGTTTGCTCTCTTTCTTATGCTCAAGTAGAATAGAGCTCATCATTTCCGAGCTAAATCTGTTCTAGTAGTTTAATTTTAGCGTGTGGGGGACGTGTTTTTGCTGCTCTCTTGTAGCCCTTGTTTACGACTCATCCAGAATGCTTTGCTAAAATAAAGAGAGGGTATTTGAAAGGAAAATGTTTGGACCTGTAACAGCTTCTCACACTGAGCAACAACCACAAACTCCTGCAGGGATTATTCATCCCTGGCACACATTCTGTTGAATACTGAAAGATAATCAATTCTCTTTAATGGAATCTCCAAAAATGGTCAGCTCTACCTTTCTGAATCCACGCAGGGGTGTGGTTTGTCTGACCAAGCCCAGGTTTTCCAACTGAAATCTTCAGGAATAATTCATCCAAGTGTCCATCATAGTTCAGTGTTTACATGAAAACTGTCATCAGTGTTGCTCTCTGTGTCCTGCTGATGTCAGTTTGACCACATCTTTGACCGACTAAATTACGGCTCATGGACAGTGTAGGATGTGGTGAATGTAGTGCTTTGAGAGCTCATTATATTACCTCTCCTTATGACCAATAAGCTGTGATACTCTATATAAATATAGAATATCAACCTGCTTGGTCTTTGGATGTTTAATCAGAAGATTCTAGGATTCTTGTTTATTCAGGGATTGTACACACTTCGTCTTGATTCAAGAAAAGAGTCAGGTTTGTAAAAGTAAGAATTTATTTTCCAAACAATTAAAACATGACAGGTTAACTAATATTTACTGTGATGGATGAACCTAGATGGAGGAGATGTGGTATATGATGCCTATGTGTGAATGTGATGTTATCAGAACTTCCGTATCTAGGAAAGCAGAGTTCTGAGTGTAAAAGAATTTGGTTTGCGTTAAGCTAAGAAGCATCAGACGCAATCCCACTGTGTTCTACCTCACCCTTCTCGGAGACCCTCTTCACGGATCCGGAGGTCATCGAGGTCGGATGACCTCTGAGCACCCAGGTCCAGTAGATTGACCACAGCACCGACTTCTCCAGTCCATAGATGCCGCCAGTCACACAGTTTGGATGGAACCATTTGCATCTAGACTCAAGGAGTCGGAACAAAATCAGCTTTGTTCTGCAGGAACCGGTTGCTGTGTCAGCTTTGCAACAACCTTGACGGCGTGTCAAAGGCTGCTTCTTAGTTAAAGAGACTTCACTACGGACGACCGTTTCCGTAGCTTCCTCTAGAACTCTGTAGAACTGGAACACTGACTCAGACTGAGACTCGAACTCGAACTGCTGAATCACCAGAGTGATTCTGCTTTAATGTTCTCATGTTATGATTTGTGTGGCCAATCGGAGGTTGACATGTTGAGGAATATTACCAAGACAACCTCAGAAAACACGCCTTCTCAGATACCGGATGCTCTGATTTGAGGGTAAGAAAATAGCATAACATTCATTTCAAACTTCAGTCATTCAAGCACAGATTAATGAAAGCATTTCATTTACATTATAATTATTGTAAGTGACAGTAAACAAATGTTTATTTAATGATTATTTAACTTATAAGTTTTAAAAGTTCTTCTATCTTGTGCTGTGAATAAAAACCAGTCTTAGATAAGAGTGAGCCTGGAAGGACCTTGAAGCAACAGTCTCTTCTGTAGATTAGAGCTCCAGTTGGAGACTTATGTCTCCAAATGACCGATACTGAAGAGGTGACCTTGTCATGGTCTGTGTCTGTGTCTTCCTTCATGGGTCTCCTGATGTTTTTCCATCCCTCTCTAGATTCCCTTCTGTGTCTCATAGTGCCCTCATGTGTCTTTTGTCTGCGTCTCAGTTAAAGCTCCAGCCTCTTTGTCCTCAGCTCAGTGTGTGTGTGTGTGTGTGTGTGTGTGTGTGTGTGTATGTGTGTGTGTGTGTGTGTGTGTGTGCCATGTCCTCCTCCAGCTAGTTTGTGTGAGTCCTTCCCTCTGTCTTTAGATAATTGTTGTTTAGTTTTGTGTTTAGGTATTTGCCCTCCTCTGTTTCTGTTTTCCCCATTTAGATAATTATTGTCACCTGCCTTCCATCCAGCCCTCACTCCACACACCTGCTTCCTGTTTCCTTAATTGTTCTCCCTGTGTATTTAAGCCCTGTCTTGTCTCTGTTTGGTGTCAGTCCATTGTTTGTTGTAATTCTGTCAAGTTTTCTCGTGCCTCTTGTATTTTTGGATCTCCAGATCTCTATCTGGATATTTGGACTGTTGGCTCCCAGCCTTTTGGATTACTTTTGTTTTTTGGTTACTCCTAAAATAAAGGAGTTTACTTTACATCTTCCCCAGCCTCGTGTCATCCTGGGTTTCTGCATATTTGGGTCCTAAACATCCCCAAAACGTGACAGACCTGTAGATTGAAAAACAGACCATTTCCGGAGGCTACAGCAGTCAGATTATTTGTGGTTTGTGGCACCAAGCTGAGAAAAAAACAACTTCACCACACAGTTTTTAACATTGCAAGCTGCACTTTTTAAAAGACATAATAGATGGTGTGGAAATGTCTCTGAATAAATATTTTCAGAACTCCGCTCAGCAGCTTTATGGGAAGATTTAAAATGCCAAACAAGCTTCAGCCTCGGTTCAGGAGACTGTACGGAGGAGGTGTCAGAGCCAAATGTTTTCATTGTGAGCAGGAATAAGTACTCAAACGGGGGATACGGGATGTTCAGTAGGCTGACACTGCACAGCAGACTCACACGCCTGTCAGGGTTCGTCTCTTTAGTGACACTCAGCGCTCAGACTCGTGAGACAGACTCGGTGCTTTTAATGCAGGGCTTTCAGCTCCAAGCTGACCGGTTACTAAAGATCCTGGGTTCATTTATGTTGATTCCATCGTGTCAGGACTGATTAGATTGAATGCAGAGAATTTGAGGCACATAGTTAAAAATACACTTTTTATTTTACTCATGACTCATATTATGCTTTTTTGAGGGGAAAAATTAGTCTATAAAATCATCAGTAAACAGCACAGTAGTGCAAAATCTGTGTGGGTAGACAAAACAGGCAGATAACGAGATAAAGCTTTTTTCTGTTAAATAAATGCCATATTGCTTTATTTATGCTGCTGCACTCACTGGTGTGTAATCAGGTTAGTTAATGCATAACTAATGGATAAGAGAGTCTATGTTTTGTAGATTTGTTCCATCAGGTGTCTGCTTCTGGAGGTCTGACAGACCAACGTCACCTCAGCCTGCTGCTCCACGAAGCCATCCAGATTCCCCGCCAGCTGGGCGAAGTCGCTGCTTTTGGTGGCAGCAACGTGGAGCCCAGCGTTCGGAGCTGCTTCCGCTTGGTGAGGCCTCAGCTGCATTCGTGGGTTTCACATCGTACACGTTAACAGTTGTGCCTAGGAATTGAAAGAAGGGGAACCACTTCTCAACAAGAACTGGTTTTAGATTCCCACCCGTAGTTCCTACTATAGGAGGTCTGAGAGCAATTGCTGTGTCTCCATTCCGAATCAGCCCTTTCAGGATTTTGCTATTTGCTAAGACATCAGCAGATCGTGACCATATTTTAAGGGTATTACATAACTGCTTAGCGCAAAATATAAGCAGTTTTTTATGACACTCTGTAGTGGACCTCAAAGCAGCCTGAAATACCGTGAAGACCTGGTAAAATAACACTACGTTATGGAGATAATAGATTATAAATTGGCTTGCCATACTTCATAAAAACAGGGCCTTTGTCCAACATGTTTTACTTTTTCCAGCACAGTACGTGTTATTGGCAGCAATAGGTTATCAAAAAGCTTCTTCTTGTAGCTGAAGGTTTGTGTTTGCTTTGGTAGTTTCCACTCTCCTCATTTCTGCATTGTGACTGGAAATGCTGTGTTTTGTCATTGTGTATCTTTTTTGTCTTGTTTAGAAAAAAAACTGAAAAAGAACAATCAGAAACAGGCTGTCACAGGGCAGAAAGCCTGTGGAACTGTTCTAATGGATTTATTTATCTATTTATCATTTTGAAGTCATTTTTGACTGAATGATTTTTGTAAATAAAATAAAATAAACACACTTTAAAGGATTTACCTCTGGTATCTAGAGACAATTGCCAACCTTTGACTGATGGTAAAAGGTCCTAAGAGACCTGGGGCCTCATTTATCAAGCTTGGTTACGCACAAAACGGGGTCGGAAAATTGCGTAAGCAACTTTCCACGCAAACTTTGGGATTTATGAAAGAAAATGTAGCGGAAAAATGTGCACAACTTTAAGTTGACTAAGGACCTTGCTTACACACATGTTGGGCATGGAGAGCACCTGCAGTGCTGCTGCTGAGAAGGATAAAAATATGAAATTCAGCAGCATTATCACTTGTACTGCTTCGTTTTCACACAGAACAAGACACCCCACACGCACACACACACGCGTGCACACACACACACACATACATGCGCGCATACTCACACACACACGCGCGCATACAAACACACACACAGCCTGAAGCGCAGAATACGGAATGCAGAATATCAGCAGGGGGACAGATTGAGACAGAATGTCACAGTGTGACAGTGTGTGTCCTGTCACTGTGACCCTATTGATCATGCACCCTGGCTACTTGGACAAGGGAGATCTCCGTTTGGGTGACTGGTTAGCGAATCCCGATTGGAGCATTTTTTTTATGTCTGCCACAGATCTCTGAAGAATTCACAACATTGACGGCTTCAGCAACGCTGTGCCACTCCAAGGATTTTCTCTTATTTGTTTTGCAAAAGCACTTCCTTTCATTTCTCCACCTCACCCACAGCTACCTCAATTTCTGCTTCTGTGAAATTGCGCTTCCTTGATCTGCCTTGATCTACGATCGCCATGTCATTGGCGGAGCGCTGCAACAGCTGGCTTATGTATATGCATGAGATCCACAAGGCACTTTGCATTGACTATTTATGGCAGTACGTGGGCATGGTGAGGGTGGGATGTGACTAAAAAGCAGCTGAGAACCTTTCTAGATAGTTTCTGATTTATGAAGCGAAGATTGCGTGCAGCTGTGCGTACTCCATGTTTGATAGATCACAAACTTACTTGGCGTAAGTAAATTTTATTTTATTTTATTTATTTTTTTGCTGAGCTTAAGTATGGTTTTAGTAAGGATTCTATGCAATGTTTGATAAATGAGACCCCAGGAATATTCAAAAAATATAGAAAACAAATATTGAATATTTATACATTTTGATACAGTGTTTTCCACATATTCTTCCTTGGATATGTTAGTACTGCAGGCAACCTCCTCCTGTAGCTGTGTAATATGTACAGAGAGACTTGTGTTGAAGGCAAAACAGGATCATTGCTTTAAATTGTACATGTGAACTTCTGTTAAAGAGCAAGTCACCCCTACAAGAAACTTACTCCACTCCCACTTCATGTTTGAAAAATGCAACAAATGCTGTTGCCTGGCAGACCGAGAGGGCAGAGCCACTAACAAAAACACACACAGGCTCACAACGGCGTTGTGACATCATAATGAACCAGTTTACATCATAGCATACCTCTTAGCCAATAGCGGTGGCAGATTTAAATTCAAATGCAGTGCGGAGTTTTTACCTGACGACGGCGCAACACTGACAGTTTTAGGCAGAAAATTTAAATTTTAACGAAGATGCACTGAAGTGCCAAATTATTGACTACACGTGTCTACAGCACGATTAGACACTTGTGTATTTAGTTTATCAGCAAAAAAATAAGTTGATTTGGGGGTGACTTGCTCTTTAACTAAAAGTATAAATGACCTTTGTGAAGGGCACTGACAAAACCTCATACCATCACTCGGAGTTTCACATGCATGCAGAAAGTGAAGATTTTCTTTAACCACTATTTCCTGCATTTGCAAAGGAAAGGACAAGAAAAAGGTCAGGTCAGAAAAAGCCGGTTTCCTCTAAGTCACATAGAAGCTTTGCAGTCATGGCCCTGCCTAGTCTAGAAATCTAGACCAACTGCAGCAATAACAAAATATGTTGCTCTGTAGGTCGGTCTCGGTCAGTCTAGGCACAGTCAAAACAGCCTCAGGAGGTCTACCGTGGGCCTGAACAGATTTGTGTCCTACCAATCACAGGCACTGAATGTTATTAGATGGGTTCAGCGCCAGTGCTGCAACAGAAGAAAACAGCAAAGCTCAGTAACGGGCCTCGTTTGAAACGGCTTTGGCAGCAACTTTGAACAGTGAAACTTGGGCTTTTCTTACAGACATGAGCAGATAGAAGTTCTTGTCCTTTATTTAGAATAAAGGATGTATTTGCTTCTTCAAATGTACGGAGAACTGCCCTGTTGATTGATTGCTAGAGCAATGAGTATGTTACATTGTTCATTGCTCTGATTGGTCCTAGTACTGTCTAATTGTGTGTGGAGACAGTTTGAAAGACAACATAGAATTCACCCCACAACTGAGCTCTGTCTATGGCTTGCCAACCTCGGTCTTGCCCACCTTAGCTTGCGATTGCCCGTGGGAAGTAGAGAGAGCATATCTTCACAAGTGGAAGGTAACCGTTAGCAAAAGCAATTCCACAACATGGCTGAACACATTCAGGCGTGTGTTGTTTGTGGAGCTAAAATCTCACCGTAGCATTTTTTACCTAAGAGAGAAGAGCTGACGAAGGCAGCAGAGTTGTGTTGTTGTTGGAACAATCAAAGGTGAGATATTTGCATATCATGAATATTAATGAGTAATCCTGCCAACACCAGAGTTTTTTAACCACAGAAAATGACCAGAGATCACAACGAAGACATTGAAAAACATGAGTGATACATGTAGAGGTAGAATTTGTGCAAATTTAACATTTATTTTAAATCTTGACAATGACTGTCTATTTCAGGTAAATACACATCTGATAATGGAGTATGTAATGCTGTACTATCACAGATGAAGTGTGTAGATGTGAGCCATCACCGCTCATCCATCCATCATTCCTTTCCCCATTGAGAGCTTCACTGGTGTATGGATTTTTCATCATCTGCAGATTCTTGTCAACATTGTTGACATTATGGACTACTGATGGGAAAACATTAGTTTGCTCCTTTCTTTGACTGGGGAACAATTGTGTTGAAGTATTTGAAATATTCTCTTTTTTATTTCTTGTAAAATTAAAGCTCCCATACTCCATTTTACTCTGTGAAGACTGTGCTTTCCTATAAATCATTCCAGACCATGATCATTTATTTACCTGTATAAAATTAAAATAAACTACAGACTGTTGTAGATTAATCAATCTATTTTTGCTGGTGACAGATAAAACATCCCATCGGTTGTGTGTGCGACTTTACCATGCAGAAGCGTGAGCAGCATTTAGACGCTGCCAGTTCCAGGTGTTTGGTGTGTTAGACGCTGACATTTGACCCCCCCATGAGGATCAGGCTGGATTCTCTCGAAACAGAGAGGAGCTTCTTCATCCTCTGGAGACATTACGTCTCTGTACACCTCACAGTCTGTGATCAACACATTCACACACGTTTATTTTGTTACTCTGCTTGAGCAGTGGGGGGAGCCCCAGGGAAATCTACTCCTTAATGCATCTCTGATGCAGACTTAATGAGAATTTAGCACATCACGGATTCTTAGCGCTTCGCAAGTTATTTTTTATTGGGTTCACTTCCTCTTTTTTCCACTTTCTGGAATTTATAACAAGCTGTCTCCAAGTGAAACAGAATAAGTGGATAAACACGTGGACTGGCATTAATCTGTTGTATTTTTGGCTTCACAGTAGCGTGAACACACATTTTACATAGCCCTCAGGTAAACTATAATGTTATATTTCCTGTTCTCTTTATTATTTTCTGTCTTTGTTTATTTTTTCTGTGATATTTGGCACTGTCCTCTCTTCTCACTCCAGGCTTCCGAACTGTTGTTGATCTATATTTGGTTTGTTTACAGTCTTCTCTCTTCTTTCACCTTCCTCCAATTTTTCTTTGCCAGGCCCCGGGGAAACCTGCCATCGAGGTGTCTCACTTCCTGGAATGGATGAGTCTGGAGCCCCAGTCGATGGTTTGGCTGCCTGTCCTCCACCGTGTGGCTGCTGCTGAGTCCACTAAGCATCAGGCCAAATGCTACGTCTGCAAGCAGTGTCCCATCAAAGGCTTCAGGTGGGTACAGCATATGCTTCTTATAGAAATGTAAAGAGATGGAAACTAAATACTGCATAGAATGTTTTTTTATCAAATCATTTAAAGTGATTATGCGTATTTCCCCTGGCAATAAGGAGCGGTGCATACCTAAATCATTGCAAACAAGTGGTGTTTTTGTGTTTGAGTAAGACCTTACCAACGGATGGCCATTAGAATCAAAAATCTCTGGGAGTGCAACCTCCAATGACGGGCACACCAGACTCCCTTTCAATACTGGCAACAAGTGAAGAGGTAAATGTGTAAAACAACAACCTTTATGAATAGCGAACATTTTTCAATTGTTTGTTACAAATTAGTAAATGCATTTTGTCCTCATGGGCTCCCATAGAAACATGGCATCTAATATAGAGTCGCCCAGAGACTTAGATCCACTCCCATGTATTTTAGACCTGATTTTAATGTTTATATGTTACAAAGCCGCCGATATTTTTCAACAACTGGGCATCATTTAATTAATTTTCAACAACATTTTGATGGATGTTTTCAGAGATTACCAGTAAAAACTACACATTGTCTCTTTAAAACATAATGGGCATGCAAAACCAACTTTTATTATCACACCCTCCATTGGCATGCTCACATTAGTTTCAGTCTTTTGAAAGACCACTTCACCAACAGGCTCCTCTGCTGAAGCAAAACATTCAACTATTGGCTGATAAGTCAGAAGTGCCACCACCATATGACGTGTAGTTCAAATCACCTACAGCACTATATACTGATGACTGAGGCATCACAAATTCAATACATTTAAAAAAATAACAGTCTCAAGCATGAGGACCCCTCTTACAATATTGTGATTGGTGGATCACTCCATGCAGTGTGTGTCAGGCCCACAAAACATTAGAAATGTTTATATATGGTCTAACCTCATTGCTTATAAGCCTTTTACATTGCTGTCAGTTTCACAATACCTGGTTCTTTTTGGAAGAAATATCTAAAAATTTCTGCAGGACTTGATCCCTGGATGCACTTCTATAGTTATTTAATGCGAACTTGACAATGGAGTAAATGATGAAATGAAGAATAGAAGAACTGCTTGGAAAATTGTCTGACTGAAGCTGTTAAGAAAAGCTCTTAACGTCTTTCAAATGACCATTAATAAAAATAGATAGAACTTAATCTGATTTATGAGTGAAATGCAAAAAATTTAGAATATGGTGCAAAAGCTGATTTTTGTCACTAATTCTACTTAAAAGGTGAAAATTGAGATGTTTCAAGTCTTTATTTGTTATAATTGTGATGATTGTGACTTACAGCTAATGAAAGCCACGCATTCAGAATCTCAGACAATCAGAATATTGTTAAAAGGTTCAATATTCTAGACTCAAAGTGTCACACTCTACTCAGCTAATGAATCCAGAACACCAGCAAAGGCTTCCTGGGCCTTTAGGGTCTCTCAGTCTAAGATGAACTACTGCTCTATATTGGACTTTTGCTCCATATTCTCATTTTTTATGTTCACCTGCACACCCTGTGACATTCTTTATTGTTTTGACACTAAAAAGTATTAATGTATACATATTACAAACACCTGGTGTATGTTAGGAACAGCATGTTCACAGGTTCATCTATTCATTGAAAGCATGCATTTATATAACTTTGAAGGGTAATTTTAAAGTCTTAGATAAATATTGTCTTAGCATTTTCTTTAATCATAACCTGATGTTAAAATTCAATTTACATTAAAATGTCAAGCTCTTCTGACGGAAGGTCCCCTCCTGTAAGTGTGTGTCTACGGTTTTATATCTCCACAGCTCGAGTAAGATAAACACACACGACAGCTAAATCAGTTTAATCATCAGTAAAATCTCCTTGTTATATTGATCTTGACAGATATCGCAGTCTGAAGCAGTTCAATGTGGACATCTGCCAGACGTGTTTTCTAACCGGCCGCACGACCAAGGGAAAGAAGTTGCACTACCCCATCATGGAGTATTACACCCCAGTAAGATGAGCGTTATGTAACGCCTCAACAGAATACTAATTCAATTCTTTAGGGAAAGATAAAGCTCAACTCTTCTTACACTCTCCATTCATTCTGCCAAACATGGATTAGGAATCTAATCCACTGTAAAGTGTCTATCATCTCATGCAGATCTTTAGTACACACAAATGAAGTGCCACTTAGTAGCATTATCCTTTTTGGCCCTTCTCACTGTGTATTTGAAGGCATAATTTAAAAACCAAACCTAAACTCTAACCTAATGCACAAAGTGTAGTTTTTCAGTGTTTTTTTTTATTGGAAATTTAGTGAGATTGTGTCAGATTAAATCCATTATCTGTTACAAAACATTAAGTGTGACATCTTCATAAAATCGTATTTTCATTGCACATTTTTTATTAGAGTAGGACAAAGGTTCTCCTGAAAACAAAGCAAGGAAGCACTTTACATTTTTTTCTTAAAATTTTCTTTTTTCTTTCTTTTTCTTCCATTTAAAGAAAGGAAATCAAGGAAATGTTTGTCATGAAAACAAAATAAACTAAGAGATGGAGGGAAACACTAGTAATGGAACATCCCTGAATGTATTTTACATGAGGTGATCTCTGGAGAAAGCCACTTTAAAGCTGTGCAATTTGTCTTTCAATCATCCATGCCTTGTGCTTTAACCCCCACCCGTCACCCCTCCTCCACCCTTCACCCTCGGCGACTGCAGACAACCTCGGGAGAGAAGATGAGGGACTTTGCAAAAACTCTGAAGAACAAGTTCAGGTCAAAGCAGTACTTTACAAAACACCCGCAGAGAGGTTACCTGCCAGTGCAATCTCTGCTGGAGGCTGAGAGCTCAGAGACGTGAGTCCCGCAACACTCTGGCTTTTCTTCGTGTCTGTTCCTCTCATACTCACGTACACATTCCTTCTGTTGTATGCTAATTGTGCTGATTTACTCGGATGGTTTAAAGGGATGTTTCTGTGGTCGGGGTTCACATTAGCTTGTGATCTCTGTCTGACTCAGTCGCGTTGCTCACCAGTGAGTCTCAAGGGAGAACAAGGACTGTGGGACTAAAATCAATAAAATCATCATGAAGCTCTGCCTTAGGCTAGTATCCAGGATGATTTGTCATAAGTATGGGTTCATTTTCTTGTCAGGTTGTGCAACTAAAGCTGCAAAATGTATAAAATATTTTACAGTGTAAGGTTACTTAAAGCAAATTATGAAGAATTTTGGTTTGCTTATGTGCTGACAAGGTCCTCTAGTCAGGAGGATTACCTCAACCCAGGTTTAGTCAGACTGGCTCATTTTCATCTTCTAAATCCTGAGCCCAAACTGAAAGTCATTCAGGAAATGTTGGTACAGGGGTGAAATCATTTGTCAGTTTTCTTTTGACATGATGCCTTTTGGGAACATCCTCATAATGTATGTTTTTATAGCTACGCTGATGATTCACAACACTATGTTCCTGCTCTCCAGGAAACAAATGCTGAATTTACCTAGCCATGTCTGGTCAACTGGTTCCACTAAAACGAGTAAAGAGTAACATTCATTTACTATTAACATAAAGTATGGTTGTTACTCTACATTTAAAGGGGACATATTATACAAAACCCACCTTTTAAAGTATGTGCTGTCATGTGGGTCTCTACTGCCTCTGTCAACACTCCATACTTCAAAAATATGTCCATCCTTTTCCTGTCTGGTTTTAGGATTTATGTGACTAAAGCAAGCTGTTCTAGTCCCAGTTTGTGATGTCACAAATGGAGACAGATGACTAGAAATACCTCTCACGTGTAAGACATAGCTGCTGCTGGAAGAGCAGCGGCTCTACTCTGATACCCTCCTGGATTGGAGCTTCTCAGCTCATAGCAGCCTGAGTGAAGGATGAGTGGGAGTGGCCAGCTCCAGCTTGTTTTCCCAAAGTGAAAAAACCCTGAGTTCATTCTGGAAGGTCCTGAAACTGTCAAGAGTAAAACAGCTGAGATTGCCTTATGTGTGAGGGATTTAGTGCAAAGAACTTCATGAACATGTTTAATATCGACCATAGAACTACTTAACTTAACCCCTTAAATTTCCAGGATTAATGAACACAATGGGGTTTTGTTCCACAGGCAGGACGCTGGAATGCTGAGGGGTCAATAAAAGTTAAAGTGTCCCTTTTAAGCCACTAGGATTAGTGGAACCAGTTGACTCTTGGTTTAAATTATTCAATATTTTTGTGCTGAACCAAATGATTAAACTAACACTATGCATCATCTGTCAAACAAATGGAACAACAGTAAAGTTATCAGAAAGACAAAACATAAACCTCATTATATCACACATCTTGGTGTTAATGTAGGTTGGTAGTGTCCAATCCTGGTGCTTCAGGGCTCACTCCTGCAGGTTTATGTAGTCTCTTTGCTTCAAAAAACCTGACCCTATGGTTTATTTACCTCCTGAGCACAATTGTAAGTTCTGAAGATGCCTGAAGCAGAAAAACCTATAAAAAATGCAGGACGGTGGCCCTGAAGGGCCAGTTCTGGACAAAACTGTTGTGGAGCTTTGAGCCTCACAATTACAATGTTTTTTAAACATAATTCTTACAAGCTAAAGTATTATTTATTATGAAATTATTAAGAAAAGAAAAGATAGATGTATGTATTTAAATAAAACTGTAAAGACACTTTTTACCTATATTTCTGTTTAGTTTTAGGTCATATGAGGTCTTGTTTTCTTTAGTGTATGAGGAATACCTCTGTGAGATCCTGATTTAAACTTCTCACCTCCCCAGACCATGCTCCTCACCCAGACTGCCTCATGCAGACACACACAGCAGGATTGAACATTATGCCAGCAGGTATGTGCCCTATAAATCAAATAATCGCATCTTAGTCTTCCTTTTTTTCCACATTTCTCTCTTCGATTGATCTGCCTTCTTCTTTAGCTCCTCTTCTTCCCTCTTCCACCTTATCCTCCCTTCCCTGCCTTCCTAATTCCTTTACCTTTTTAATCTTTGCTGATTCTGGTATTGATTTGCGTTGTGTACTGTACTGCAGCCGGGACAGTGGCCGGACTGCCCCGGCACTTCCTTTTATTCTGATCCTCAACACAAACACACCCTGACACACACAAGCGGAGCAGTTTGTGGTTCTGTGTGAGTGTCCGTGAAGGTTAGTGGGGGTCAGCATGCCTGGCGGCTTGTCACTTGCCGGGGCAGTGAGCCCATTGGTCACCTGGGTGCCGTCGGTGAGGATTAGTGTCTATGTGACAGGTTATAAACAGGCCATGATCCTGGACTCCCACACTCCTGGCAGCGCTACACTGTGGGCATAGCTGGACACACGCATCCTTTTAACCTGCAGTGTGTGAATGTGTGTGTTTGTGCGTCTCCCTGAGGCTCCTACACACGTTATGTCCTGCCAAAACAAGAGCAACAGACAACAATGGAGCAGGAACAATCGTCATTGTTACCTCTTTTATTTACCCCGTTTTCCCTTTTCAGCTGTTCTCTACCTTTACTCTCTATCCTCTATGGTCTCTTCTTTTGTCTTCTACAATATTTTGTCTCTTTCTGTCTTTATTCTTGTTCTTTCATCCATTTGTTTTCACATCCTCTTATGTTGACTGAGATTTGTCAGTTACTCTATAATTTTCTTCAAACTGCCCACATTGGTCACCTTTAAAAATCTCAAACTCTCTTTACCCACAGCATTCATTAACTAAAACTGGGGAGGAATTTAAAAACAAATAATTCATATAGTTATATATATTTTTTAAATATCCATCCATCCATCCATCCATCCATCCATTTTCATCTGCTTATCCGGAGTCGGGTCGCAGGGGCAGTAGCCTAAGGCGAGAGGCCCAGACTTCCCTCTCCCCAGCCACTTGGGCCAGCTCCTCCGGGGGAATCCCAAGGTGTTCCCTGGCCAGGTGAGAGACATAGTCCCTCCACCGTGTCCTGGGTCTACCTTTAGGTCTCCTCCCGGTTCGATGTGCCTGGTAAACCTCACCAGGGAGGCGTCCAGGAGGCATCCTGACCAGATGCCTGAGCCACCTCAACTGGCTCCTCTTGATGTGGAGGAGCAGCGGGTCTACTCCGAGCCCCTCCCGAATGACCGAGCTTCTCACCCTATCTCTAAAGGAGAGCCCAGCCACTCTTCGGAGAAAACTCATTTCGGCCGCTTGTATCCACAATCTCGTTCTTTCGCTCACTACCCAAAGCTCATGACCATAGGTGAGGGTAGGAACGTAGATCGACCGGTAAATCGAGAGCTTTGCCTTCTGACTCAGCTCTCTCTTCACCATGACAGACCGGTACAACGCCAGCATCACTGCAGACGCAGCACCAATTTGCCTATCAATCTCACGCTCCAGTTTTCCCTCACTCGTGAACAAGACTTGGGGCAGGACCTCATCCCTGACCCAGAGAAGGCATTCTACCCTTTTTGGAATCAAGACCATGGTCTCAGATTTAGAGGAGCTGATTCTCATCCCAGCTGCTTCACACTCGGCTGCAAACCGCTCCAGCGAAAGCTGGAGATCATGTTCTGATGAAGCCAACAGGACCACATCATCTGCAAAACGCAGAGACCTGATCTTCAGGCCACCAAAACGGATGCCCTCCACACCTTGTCTGTGTAGAGTTATCTGCATACTGAAATCACCTCTGTTGCTATTCAGTGGAGATTCCGAAAAATGACCAATCATTATATCTATATATATATCATATATATAGATATCCTGGATACTTATATATCGATCTAAGTTCATACATCAACCTGTTTGATCTAATTTTAATCCAAAGATTAATGTTTAATTTAGATATTTAAATTTAATAGCAAAAGTTATTCAGAAGCTAGGATCTTTGCTTTCAAATAACCAGAAACATTATACCTTTTCTGTTTCGTTTCAATAATGAGGCAAGTTTAAAAATGAAGAAATTTATTACTAACAATTTTAAACTGAAAGATTTGAAATGACATCATAAATGACAATTCAAGGATGACAATTTAATGACAATTTTTAACCGCCTTGATATTAAACTTGTTTTAAAAGCAAAGCTGTGGCTGAATGGAAGCTAAGTGAAAAATACGAGTTTGGATGCGTGAATGAGATTATTAGGAGGTTTCATTCACAGAGAGCAGAAGCATTCTGGATGGAATTGATGTTTTGCGGCTGAGTTATTAATTGGAACACACCCTGCAGCCCCCCTTTTTAAATAAGGGGACCACCACCCCAGCCTGCCAGTCCAGTGGGACTGCCCCCGATGTCCACAAGATATTGCAGAGCCGCGTCAGCCAACACAGCCCCACAACCTCCAGAGCCTTAAGGAACTCCGGGCAGATCTCATCCAACCCTGGAGCCTTGCCACAGAGGAGCTTTTTAACCACCTCAGTGATCTCAGCATCAGAGATTTGAGAGGCCAACCCAAAGTCCAGAGACTCTGCTTCCTCACTGGAAGACATGTCGGTGGGATTGAGGAGATCTTCGAAGTATTCTGCCCACGATCGATCCACAACGTCCTGAGTGGAGGTCAACAGCACACCGTCCCCACTATAGATAGTCTTGGTAGTGCACTGCTCCCCCCCCCCCCCCCCTGAGGTGCCGAATGGTGGACCAGAATCTCCTTGAAGCCGTACAGAATTCTTGCTCCATGGTCTCAACAAACTCCTCCCATGCCCGGGTTTTTGACTCGGCGACCAACCGAGCCGCGTTCCGCTTGGACTGCCGGTACCCATCAGCTGCCTCTGGAGTCCCACAGGCCAAAAAGACCTGATGGGACTCTTTCTTCAGCTCGACAGCATCCCTAACGGCCAGTGTCCACCAGCGGGTTCGGGGGTTGCCATCACAGCAGGCACCAACGATCCTGTGACCACAGATCCGGTCGGCTGCCTCAGCAATGGAGGCACGGAACAGGGTCCATTCTGACTCAATGTCCCCCGCCTCCCCCGTAACATTTTGGAAGTTCTGTCGGAGGTGGAAATTATAGCTCCTTCTGACAGGAGACTCTGCCAGACGTTCCCAGCAGACCATCGCAATATGTTTGGGCCTGCCTGGTCTGACCGGCATCCTCCCCCACCACCTGAGCCAACTCACCACCAGGTAGTGGTCAGTTGACAGCTCCGCCCCTCTCTTCACCCGAGTGTCCAAGACATGCGGCCGCAGGTCAGATGAAACAACAACAAAGTCGATCATCGAGCTGCGGTCTAAGGTATCCTGGTGCCAAGAGCACATATGGCAGGGGTGTCCAATCCTGGTCCTGGAGGGCCGGTATCCTGCATGTTTTAGTTTGAACTCTGTTTCAACACACCTGATTTCAATCAGCAGCTAATTAATAGGCTTCTGTAGAGCCTGATGAGCTGCTGCACTGGTGTTTCAACCACTGAATCAAGATTGTTGGAGCAGAAAAACCACAAAACCTGCTGGATACCGGTCCTCCATGACCAGGATTGGACACCCCTGACATTTGGACACCTTTATGTCTGAACATGGTATTATGGACAATCCATGACTGGCACAGAAGTCCAACAACAAAACACCACTCGAATTCAGATCGGGGGGCCGTTCCTCCCAACCACACCTCTTCAGGTCTCACTGTTGTTGCCCACGAACGGTAAAGTCCCCCAGCAGAATGAGGGAGTCACCAGAAGGAGCGCTTTCCAGCACCCCCTTCAAGGTCTCCATAAAGGATAGGTAGTCTGAACTGTAGTTTGGTGCATAAGCACAGACCACAGTCAGAACCTGTCCCCCCACACATAGGCGGAGGGAGGCTACCCTCTCATTCCCTGGTGTAAACCCCAACGTACAGACACCAAGATGGGGCCAACTAGTATGCCCACCCCTGCTCGGCGCCTCTCAGTGGGAGCAACTCCAGAGTGGTAGAAAGTCAAACCCCTTTCAAAGAAACTGGTTCCAGAGCCAGAGCCATGCATTGCGGTGAGTCCGACTATGTCTAGTCGAGACCTCTGAACCTCACACACCAACTCAGGCTCCTTCCCCACCAGAGAGGGGACATTCCATGTGCCAAGAGCCAGCTTCTGTAGCCGAGGATCACACCGCCAAGGTGCCCGCCCTCGACTACCACCCGTCACACACTGCGCCAGACCCCTTTGGCAACTCCCACGAGTGGTGAGCCCATGCGAAAGGGGGACCCACGTTTCCTCTTCGGGCTGTGCCCAGCCGGGCTCCATGGGTGAAAGCCTGGCCACCAGGCGCTCGCCAACGGGCCCCACCTCCAGGCCTGGCTCCAGAGGGGGGCCCCGGTGACCCATGTCCAGGCGCGGGAACACGGTTTCCATTCACATAATTCATCATAAGAGGTCTTTGGGCTGCTCTTTGTCTGATCCCTCACCTAGGACCTGTTTGCCATGGGTGACCCTACCAGAGGCAGAAGCCTCAGACAACTTAGCTCCTAGGATCATTGAGACACTCAAACCCCTCCACTACGGTAAGGTGGGAGCCCAGAGAGAGGTCCTAGAGTTTTTACAAAAACATATTTTTTAAATATGTTTTTGTAAAAACTTTACAAACAATTGATATCTTACCTATAGGTAGCTTTTTAATCAACCTCAGTTTGGAGAAAATGAGAAGATTTATTTTCATTTCTCATCAAGCAGAAAGACGTGTTCCCTGATTAGTCAATAACTTGGTCATTTATCTTCTGCTGTCAAGATAAATATTTGGGTGTTGTTTTTGGCCAATCAATGTCTCTTGATGGCCACCCAAAAACATTGGTATGAAACTGTTTTTATCACTTATCTCCAAACTGTGAAGGTTGTTGTCAAAACATGAACTTGAAATGGTGCTCCATGCCTTTATCTCCTCCTATGTAGATTACTGCAACACACTCTTCAC